TGGCCACCCAGGCCTGGGGGGCCTCCCCTGCCTCTATGGCAGTAAAGGCTTGAACAATCATAGCTGCATGGCGCTTTTGCGTAGCCCTAATCCTGCATATACACCACAGGCAGACCAGGGAGACCATAATCAAGAGGCCTGCTAACCCTCCCATGCCCGCCCACTCTTTCAAATGATCCATGGCAGAGTTCAACCAGGAAATCAGGCCGCTTTGGTGGTAAAAAGGCGTGGGAAAACCCCTGCATTATACATCACCGGCATAAGTCTTGGGAACGCTGACAGTATCCCCCATCTCTGCTCCGCCATCCCCAGTTGACTCATCATGGGAAGGAGAAGAAGCATCACCACATTGACACTCATGGTGTTCCTCATGTTGGATTTTCCTGATCAATTGTTCTGGCACCCACACCGGATCCTGTTGGTCCTGTGTAAAAACACAAACAGAACTTTGTGCCCATGTCAGCATGGGATCAGGCCCGCGCCAGAGGCCTGTCAGAATATCCTTCCATTTAACCATCCCTTTAGCAGGGCCATGTGGATCCTGATGTCTATCCGCAGAATGGCCTTGAGCATCCAAATTTCAGAAATTAATAGTAAATAGGGTGAGAGATTGCCTCTCCTTAGGAGTACGGCCGTGGCCTATTCCTCCTTTTTGTTTTTGCAGACATTCCTTTAACGTTTAATGCCTTGGCCTTGAGGATTATACAGCAATCCATGGAGAAGTTGCACCTCCATGCACTGGCAGAATGAAGCAAAAGTCTGAGCCGTATAAGCTGGCCCATTATCAGTTTTTAACTGTTGGGGTTTACCCCAAGCAGCCCAAGCTTCCAGGCAATGAGTGACAACATTTCGTGCCTTTTCTCCTATTAGAGGCATGGCATGCATGATGCCTGAACAGGTGTCCACAGACACACGTACATATTTTTAACTTCCAAATTCAGATACATGTGTCACATCCATTTGCCACACTCTCAAAGGGAGTAGACCTCTTGGATTCATTCCTACATTGGGTGGATGTTGAAAAATTACACATTGAGGGCAATCTAGAACCACTTGCCGAGCATCAGCTCGAGAGAGATGAAATTTCTTTTGTAGTGCCCTAGTGTTCACATGAAAGGTCCTATGAAAATCTCTTGCTTTTCCAAGGTGGAGCTCAAAAATATACATTCCATTCTGGTCCACTGATCGACCTTATCATTACCTTCACTTAATGGTCCTGGCAGACCTGTATGCGCTCTTATATGTTGCACAAAGAAACAAGCTTTCCTTTGCCAAATTAAATTTTGAAGTTGTTGAAATAAAAGGCAAACTGGACTGGCACTCTTTATAGGCCTAGCCACTTCCAATGTCTTAACAGCATTAACAACATAAGCTGAATCTGC